CTGGCTGGCAGACTGCTGGTTCCGACTCGAAGCGACAGAACCGTCCTCAGTCCATCTCTGGACCTCCCACCGAGAAGGAGGGCACTCTGGGTTATGTCAAGTATGTGACAGACAAGGTTCAAGATGCCGAGCTTAGGGGCACTCTGGCCGCCTTTGGCGAGCTTACCTACTTTGACATTAACCGCCAGAAGGTATGTTTGGCAATATCTCCTAACCCATTGGACTCCATGTGCTAACCATAAGTAGAACTGTGCCTTTGTCGAGTACAAAACTGCTGAGGGTTACCAGGCTGCGGTCGCTGCCAACCCTCACACTGTCAATGGAGAGAACATTGTTGTTGAGCCTCGTCGCCCCAAGGCCAATGCCTATGGCGGTAGCAGCTATGGTGGCCGAGGTGGTATTTCTGGACGTGGTCGCGGTGGTGTCGACGGTGGCCGCTCTGGCGGTCAGGGCTCTCGAGGTAACTTCTCTGGCCAGAACCGAGGTCGCGGTGCCCCTCGAGGAGGCCGTGGCGGTGCTCAGGCCCAGAATGCCTAAACTGGCATGTCACACGGCATAGCAAAGCTGGTACATGGTTACCGGTTATTGACCTTGCCTATATAATAGGCACTGTGGCCCACGAAAGGGGCTTTGATGCTCCTGGGGACACTTTGCCAACAAGGCGTGTAAATATAAAGACGCCAGGGGGAACCACAAACACACATTTGGCAAATGCCGACAGGAAGGAAGGACGGGAGGAGGCGGAGTTTGGCATTCCCTTTGGGAGGAAGGATGGAGTTGGGAACCTGGAGTCATGATTGTTCGTTTTTCAGTTTCGCTGCTTTGCGCGCTACATCTGCATCTCATCCTCGGCAACCGACGATTGGCTCAGGGATTCAGCGAAAAGGGGGGTGAAAAGGTCCTCGGGTGGGAGCTTTGGTTTGGCATCATTACTTTCTAATGACCGTGTATATTCTCACAAAAGCGAACGTGAGGGCGATAGAGGCGGGACTCGGGGAGTTGAAGCAAGCATGGGGAGCGATGGATGGGATAGGAGGACGGCTGGGGAACAATGAATGGTTGGAGGCGGAGGTGAGCCTTTGCCTGGATGTACGAGAGGGTCTATAGGGAGACCGTATATTGTACACTTTACTGTGCAAGTAGCCATCAGTTCCTTTGGTTTCTGAAGCATGTTTGTAAAAGGGGCAGTGTGAAGAAAGGGTGAAAACGAGACAGATACCACAGAACTGTCAGTCAAGACACAAGTCCAAGTCAGAGAGTCAGCCATGATGCCGCTGGTTGGATGAGGCAACGTAACAGCTATGGATCCATGCAACGCAAAAGCCAACAAGGTGATGACGGTTCACGATGGCAAAAGGCGGATGCGAGTTTCAGTTCAAAAGAACTTGGCAAACGAAGCTCGTGGGTAGAACCGGTGGAATGGTTCGCCGCATCTGATGTTGTCGGTCTCTCAAGGTACTGGTAGGTCAGGTCCTTTTGTTGGTATTTCACATACGGGAGGGACTTTTGATGAGCGGAGGAGACGTATTTCGTAATTGATGCATGGTCCCATTGCATTATGATCCTCTTTTTGCTAGCCGGCCGCTCGCTCGGCGGCTGGTCGGGGTCTATTCCCGGGGGTAGGGCGCAAAGTCCGGGGCGTGGGCTCCGGGGGGGAAGAGGGTTCTTACTCCGACCTTCTTAATGCAGGCGGGGGGAGGCAGCAGCATTGAACAAGAGGTCATGTGAGACCGGACGAGGGTTCGGGTCAGGATGAGGCTCTGGGGAAAAAAGGGAGGGGGCTTGCGTGCCGAGAGATCCGGGTGTGTAAGACGATCGGAGGGGAGGGAAATAGGTAGGTGGTCTAGGATGGGTTGAATATAGCGGATGGAGGTGTACTGTAGCCAAGGCGGGAGCGTACATAGTATTGAGCTTGTCGGAGAGCTTCTTCAGGTTAATAGACTTTGGAGGATTCAGCCCCGCAAGACGGCGGGGCAGAGATCAACGATGGCCATGACATTTCTACGATACTTGATTTCGCTTGTTGTTTCTATAGTGGGATAAGGATCGACATAGAAGAGCAATTCCGCAGGTACGTCTGGAAACATTTCTCGGGGGAATAAGTGAGAAAGTGGGCGATCGTCATGTGTCCCCTGATCTCTGGCCTACCAAGTGCCGACGTGGCAGACGGAGTATTCCGCATGCATTACATACATTGATGGAGCACAATATTGTACGGTAGTGTAGTGTTGTAGTTGCAATGCAATAGCGTTTGATTATCTTGATCATCGGGCGCTGCACCTCGCGTTTCGAGAGTCGGCCCTGTTGGCGTGTTGGTTGCACACAGTAAGACGGGATGGTTTCAACGGAGACAGGACGGACATGCTGCTGGCCCCGTGGGCCGCTTTCCAATCACGTACGGTTATACGGATAATAGTAACTAATAATGGATGATAATTGGGGGAGGGGGGTGTGACAGGGGCTTCGGACTCGTTGTGTTGTAATAATTACTCCCTGGATGATCCCGAGAAGAGTCAGGAAATGAGGCACTTTTGAGTGGTCAAGCTGAGTTCAATAGAGGCGTTAAAAGATGAATCTCGTATGCAGCGTAGATGAAACACAAAACGTAAACCATAACTAAGTAAGAATTAATTCTTACAAACCAAATAATAGTAAGAGGACACAAATATCGGTGTGGGGCCTACTACATTGAAAACAGAAGAGGCCGAGGAAGAGAATCCATAGGTGACCCCAGACGCGGAGAGGGGCCGCTTTCAAAGGTGCCAAGGGCAGCGCCAAAAGTTCCTCTGGGTTCCTCTGGGTGGGAGACACCGACACTGAGGGCACACGACGGGATGCAGTGCAGTACGTACTCTACCCAGGAGTTTGGGTCGCTTGTCGCTTGTTCGGGGACTTTGACGAATGAAGGGCGTCGGGACAAAGTACTTTTGCGAACAGCCCAGCTGTTGGTTGGCTGTGGAAGAACAGCAGAGGGTAGGCAGGCACTTTTTTTTTTTCCTGCTGTGTTGGCTTTTACGCATAGCACTGTAGCAGTGTGTAATGAGACGGCGTTTCGGAATGAGTAATAGGCTCCGAGAGGAAGAAAGCAATAACAAAGTACGTTATGCAGAGAGCCATAGGATTTCAGAAGGAAAAAAAAAAGAAGATCTCGGCTTGGCTTGGATAGACCCTGTTTTTGCTCGATTAAAACGGATGACTTGCAGGTTGAGGACCGACACACGTACGAGGCCCGAGGCGACCCCGGACGATACGGTCGAGACCCGGCCGAGATGTTGGATGTGGCGTATTGTACATCCGAGCCGATGGCGGCGGCTTTGAATCTCTGCGCCAGCTGGGAAAGGGCTGGTGCTAGACTATTGAGATGGGGATAATAAGCCACATGTTGCACAAAGGGTATCAAGTGCCGCGCAGCTGGAGGGTACAGCACCCGCCAGGTTAATAATGGTATACAGTAAGTCATGAAGATTTCCTCAGGGACCTTTTTTTTTTGGTGGTGTTTCTCGACCGTGCCGTTTTCCGTGGTACCTACCCATCCGGGACTAGCGGCTCTGTCTGAGGGACGTCCGGTGGGGCCGTGGGCCGTGGACTTCCCTGTACGCGGCGTGCGTGCGTGCGGTTCTGTGGGTCCGTCGTCGCGGGACCTTTTGGCGGGAAGGTGGCCGGGGGTTCCCAAAAGAGCCCTTTCCAGTTTTGAACCTGCGACTCGGCTTGGGACCTGCCAGGTCAAGCCATCCGCTGCCCACATGCCGTGCCATGACCATGACCTTGAGCCATGTGTTGTGCTTGCCTTCTTTGTTAAGGATCAATGCCTTCTCTCGATCGAGTCGTATTACGCCCCATCACCACTTGACTTCTTCATCTACCCCCCTCAGCCTTGCGCACCATAGAGATCCGCCGTCTCAAACCCCCTAGGGCTGTACTCTCCTTCGGGGATCGACATCCAGCGCGGAAGTGCGGCGCAAAGCAAGCAAGCTCGTCATTCCCTATCGGCGAAACCCTAGACTTCCCTACCTGCCCGTACCGTAACCGTCCAGTACTGTACCCTTCCTGCGCGCTTGCGGTTGCGCCTCGACCCTTCAAGGTGCGTAGTTGCGGATCGCATCACAATCCCATCCTAGGTTCCTAAACCCAATCACGGCCCCGTCGCATCAGATCCCCTCCAATGTGACTAAACTCGAACGTCGTTTTTAGGCGAATCTACAAGTCGAGCGCTCTGCGGCAGCCTCATCTCGCCACCCTGCGCCGGTGCTTTGGTCCACATCCACACCCTCAACGTCGCTTTCCATTCTACGAGGGACCCCCCCAGTCCCGTCCTTTCTCCATCCATCCTCTCACCTCTCCTGACGGTGATTCCTCCCTCTCCACTCCCTCCCGGGCTCTGCGTTGCGCTGCGCTGCGCTGCGTGGGCCCTTTTGGAAACGGCTGACGTCGCCTTGTGCTGGCCGTTGCCCTGACCTTACCTTCGATCCTAGCCCCCCCCGAACAAAAGAGCCGCCGCGCTTCCATTCCTCTTCCATCCCCCGTCGAAGCCAAACGGAGACTCGCCCTGGCGCCGGCACCGACAGGCCCGAATTCAGAAGCACACCGTTGTTGCTGTTGCTGCCCTACTCTGCTCACGCCCCCGTTCGATCCAACGATCCTCAAACATTCTCAACCCCCTGCCTTCGCCCTCGGCCCCGGGTCGTCTTCCATGACGGATGCTCGTTTCCTCGGGTCCACGCTGACTGTCCTCGTGTCGTCTGCCTTCTTCTGTTGGCTCGCTCGCTTTCCTCCTTCAACATCTCTCTCCACAAATCTCCAGAGCGGGTCGGAATGATCAACCTCCTCAGTCTGCCGCCCTCTACGGAGACTCCTGCGGCCAATGTTGGTTGAGCTCACGCCCCAGACTTATCATCCGCCATTCCCGCTCCGTGTCGGCCGGTCGCGAGACCCTCTCGAGCCTCATATATAAGTCTGGCCTGCCCCATGGAACCCCGTAGGGTGTCGCTCGACGACGATGGATCATCCACGATCGCTCCTGCGTCGCCGCCTCTCCGGCGGCGTGTCTCGATGGAAGAGGATTTCTACTACCAGCGTATCATGACAAGCCCGCGCCGACCCTCGCAGCCGCCCCCGTACCAGCAAGAGCCTACATCAACGTCAACTACAGATCGTTCAGCAAAGGGGAAACGCCTCGCGAGCGGTGGGGGCGGCCAGAGTCAAGTTCGCCCAGGTACAACAAAGCAAAAGGAACCATTACCCGACTACAAGAGTTATATAGCCCTCGAGGGCGTCTTTGACAAGAAACACGAAATCGAGAATACAATAAAGAGGGCCGAGGACCGTCAATGGCATCCCGTCTATGTGACACTCAACGGGACCGCACTCAGCATCTATGGGGCGAAGAAAGCTTGGGGATGGGGAAGGACTCGTGATGACGGACCATCAATCGACCCGGACAACCCTCCATGGATGAAAAAGGGCAAGCTTGAAAAAACGTACAGCCTACTCTATGCGGATGTTGGTATCGCCGCCGACTATAAGAAGTAAGTTATTCTGTCTCGTGACCAGGTGGTGGTGCAGTTCATGGTCGTATACTAACATCGTTTAGGCGACGATATACCATCCGTGTTCGCGCAGAAACAGACCAATTTCTTCTGTGCTGCGTTGAACTGAGTACCTTTATCAAGTGGCTCGAAGGACTGTTTGCCGCCATCGACATCGCTCTCCCTCTAGAGGACCGAGATTTTCCCCGTGATATGTCCATACCCCGGATTCAAAGGATTCGCTGGTTTCATGGACAGGCCCCAACCGCCACTGCCATTGACCTTTCGGAGTTGGGTATCGAAGAACCTCCTGAAGAAGTCTCGGAGAATCCAGATGTGGAACGGTTGTCGACACGTACGGTTGTGGCGCCAGACTCTCAAACCAGAGTTGAAGCGGAGCTCGAGGTTGATGGGGATGAGGAAGAAATAGCAGAGCCTCCTCCGCGAATAGACCCGATCCGCCGTCTCAGCACGACGTCATACAACAACCTAGGTATCGACCCTGTCGATGGCAAATGGATCCCGGAACATCGGTGGTCAAGTGCCCACGACATGCTGTACGCCAAGCTATGCTACAGCAACCTCTTGTTCAGGAGCCCCCGCAAATCTCCATACATCATCAGCAAGGGGAAGAAGTGGTACGTTGATTGGACGACAGGCCGCATGGTCAGGGTTCTGCCACCAGCGTACGGAGAGATCGACTATTTTGGAGCTTGGCAAACGGTTCATACCGAAAACAGGAGGATATAGACCGGCCGATGATTGACACGCATACGAACATTCCCTATTCTCAAGACTTGGACCCTCGGATTCTCAGATCTCGATATACTCGACTTCTACATCAACCAACACATTACCTCCAAGGGACCAGTCACATCCCAATATCTCACAACACAACAACCTACCTCCCGACAATACCTCATCTACATTTTAGAGCCGACGATGAACTCACACGACACGGGATTTAAAGACTTACAGGGCACGGCGCTCACCATCTCATTTCTTTGATGATTGATTGTACATACTTTGCATATCGGGCGCATTCAGGGGTTGCATAAGCCAACGGTGGCAAAGACTTATGATCATGGGCCGGAGTTTTAGTTGTTTTGTCGTTTTGGTTAAAGTAAAGCTCTTCTCGCGGTGCATGGCATGGATGGTTAATACTCACCCATGGATATCGTACATGATTTTGTATATACACGACTTTTACTATCACGCGGTCACGATTGACTGTTATGGTGCTTGTACATAGGTACATATGAGAGGACAAATATCAGGATATAGCTCCTCGTCATGAAATGACTGCTCGTTTGTAGACATTGATTCGTAAGTAAGTAAACGCCAGTATACAAGATGAAAAGTATGGTATCATATGAATGTGTCGCCTCCCAAGGACCCTTTGATTATCCCATTCCACCGCCACGGCCGGCCATGCCGCAGCAGCCTTGTAACGTTCCAATTGCTCCACAGCACCCCTTTCTCTCCCTCTACTACGTTGTCGTCGTAGGTGGTGGTGGTGCTCGCCCACCACCACTCGCCGTCTCAACAGCCGCAATACCCTCCCTCGTCTCGGCAGCCACCTCATCAACCAGCGGCCGCAGGGCGTCATTTGCACCTTGCACATCGGCGACCACACCCTCAAGAGCCTCAAGCAACGAACGAATCTCGTCGCGCTGCCGGCCGACCTCGTCGTGCAAAAGGGCGTTTTGCGACTGCGTCGTCTGGAGGCGCGCGTTGAGCTGCGACTGATGCGCCGTGAGGGAGGGCGTCATGTGAGCGGCAAGAATAGCGGATGGGGGAAGGAGGTGAGGTCTTGAGTAACATGTTAGTTGGAGGTGTGCTTGAAAAGGGTTGCAGACGTACGGTGTTGGTTGGGTTTCTGTTGTTGATTCGGCCCGCCGGCGGGAGGCGTCGCTTATAAGACTCTCCAGGTCATTGAGTTTTGGTACAACCTGCCTCGTAACAAGTATACTCTCGAATTCTTTCTGCTCCCAGAGTCAGCGACAAGTCACTTGGACATGGAAGAACAAAAACGCACCTCGCACTTCTCCCCCAGCTTCTCAACCATCTGACCTTGAACCTGCCTCAGCACGCCCTCTGCCCTTTTCGCAACGGTAGGATAGCATCCCGCGACGTTTTCCCATCCAATCTTGCCGAGCGTCTTGCGGAGGGAGCGCGAGTAGAGCTCTTGCAGTCGCGCGGCGCGAGGGCCGGGCGTCACGGCGGTGTGGCGCTGGGGCAGTGGAGGAGAGGCGGGCGTTGGCTGCTGTTCCTCGGCGGCCTCATTCTCCTGCGCCGGTTCGGCGGCTGGGGGTTTGTCTGGTTGAGGATCGGGTGCCATTGGGTGGTATGGGTAAAATGGTGATGCTTGTTTCTTGGTGTTGTAATGCGACGGCGGGAGACGCGACGGAACGATAAGATGCGACGCGTGGGGTTATCGCACGTGTTGATGGATTTTTCTAATTGGTGGCGGTGCATGAGGGGTCGGTTGTGGCTTGAAAGTCGTTCCCCCTCGGTGATGAAAAGGAAGCTCTCCCTGTCCTGATATTGTCGTAGGGTGTGGTCTATGTATTCGAAATCTATGTATACGTCTAGGAAATAGGCTTGTCAAAGCCGAGTGTAGTTTTCTGTTCTGTTTCTGTACGTTATGTGTGGAGTTGTCTCTCCAATCCTTCATCATAGCTCATAGCATCTAGGGTCCCAATCCCAATCCCTCTCCCAGTGTGTGGTTACTCCTCCCAGTTCAAAAGTCTATAAGGGTATCGGTTATAAATCCCAAGGAAATATTGTCGTTCATCTGTTGTAGTTGTTGTGATCGATTAAGACTCTCAGTTGGCAGCCAGGATCACAGCCGCGTCGGCATCTGACGTTCGGTCTTGTTTGCCGCCATTCCTTCGTCTCTCTTCCTCCTCTTTCTTCTTCTTCTCTACTTCCCTTTGTCGCTCATGGCTGACATAGGTCGCATATCGGAGTGTGCCCAGTGTGAGAACAGCCATGAAGAGGATGCCCAGGACTGATCGACGGATCAGGATCCAACGTACTGCCTCGATCTCAGACTTGGCATCGCTACTAAGTACGATGCTGATCTTGTAGTTGATTTGCTGGACCTAGAATGATGTCAGCTAACCACATTTCCATACCCCGTATCCAGCTGAGAGATAACTTACTGCGCTCTGTCCCACCTTCTGCTCTTCACTCACTGCCATCTTGCGGTCATTAAACAACCCTCGCACATTGTCATTTAGTGTCAAGACCTCCTGGTTAAGGGACTGAGTCAAGATGTCCACCTCATGTTGCAGATGCGTTCGTTGTTGACGTAATTGCTCTTCTTCGAGCCTTCGGTTATTCTTGATCTCCGTGCTAAGCTCTGAGCAAGCTGCCGTAAAGAGGTATGTTTCCTGGTCAAAACGGTCAGCCCCTGAACTACTTCTCCGAGTACAATTAGAGCTCACGTTTTCCACATCACTCTTGCTAACCAGAGTCGACTGCGCAATATCAAGATTTTGTGCGAGCAGCGCCCTAATTGCCTTCATGGCTGTTGTCGCCTGTTCCTGAGAGTACCCCCCTTCCTGCAGCTGCTTGACCAGCGAGTAGCTGTCAAAGTGATGGATATATGGCGGTGGGCACATGGCAGGGCCATGCCTCATAGTCTGGGGTGGCTCCATGTGCAGAACAGCCTCCAAGGGGCCGCTCTGCTTCGCCTCCTCTCGAGCCAGCCTAGCCCGCTCCTCCTGGGGTGTTTCACTCTCTTTCGGCTGAGGTTTGCTGCTCGTCGCTTCACCGGACTGGGTCGAGAAGTTCTGACTAGACGTGTCGGGTTCCGAGGGAGTCTCTTCGGTCGGAGTAGGTTGAGGTGGTTGTTGCTCAGCAGCGCTCTGGTTTACCACAGGCCGGCTGGCCGCACCACCGATAACACCAGACGAGGCATTGAGCGACCGGACCTTCTCGCTGCCAATTGGCTGAGGTTCAACAGCCTTCCCTCGCCTCCGCGCAAATGTTCCTCTATGCCGTGTGAACGCCGCGGCGCGAGGAGCTGTGCCGACGGCTCGCAGCACGTGCGGGCTCAGAGACCTCAACCGGGCAGTGGCTGCGGCTGTCATTGCGGGTAGGGAGACCCCGCAGGTAGGTCGGGGGGCTAGTGTAGACTACCGGGCTCGAGATGATGCACTCATAGGCGCAGGATTCGATTCGAGGCCGTCGGTGCGAGGAGGAGGTTGAAGATGTGAGACGCCATATGAGGGAGGATCCAAGTGTTGCTCCTACGTAGCAAAAGGGACCCAAAGTTGCGTTGGGAGGTTTCGGAGCGGAATCGGCAACTACCGTCCAGGGTAACTTAATTTAGGTACCTGCTTAAGTGACTTGGCTCCTGCACGTGGCGTCATCTTAACCAACGCTCTGGGGCAGGACTGCCGATGTTAACCGCAGGGGTCGAGGTACGTACCCACTCCTTTTCTTTCATCCCGTCATGCTGTCACACGTCAGATATCAACAACGAATCTCAAAGGTTACAAACCCCATATACGAAGGAGTCTTTATTACCGCTTTGGATAATCCTCATATACTATCCGAACAATTCTTGTACCTAGAATACAGCTGATAATTTTGTCGCTGGTGCAAGGCCTTGTATACCTCATGTTCTGCGGCCCTCCTATTATCGCTTTCCGGCCGGCATTCCTTTCATTGCATTCCCAGAGCCAGCCATCCCATCCCATCCCATCCCATCTATTCAGTTCCCCAATGTGATGATACACCCGCAATGCCGTTTCTCGCTTCCATTCCCAACCTGCCCATCTCATAACTATATGTCTCCAGCATCTTGAACGCCATCTATGCTTTGCTTTATTCTTCATCACACACCAAATTGATACTCCCTGTCGCTTCCACTTCCAAAACCACTCAGGCTTCATTGTCTCGCACTTGCACTGGCCTTGCCTCGTTTCCCAACTTGTCTGTATCGTCACCGCCAAGGCCACCAAAAGCACTGGCGTTGGTGCTGGGTGGACCACTGCTCTGTGGGCTGTTGGACTCATTCGTCAAGACGGGTGTTGGTGTCGACGAGTTCACATCGACGTGAAGACCGCTTGCTGTATTCAACGCCGGTGTTGCGCTCGGGGTTGAGGCCGGCGTAGTAGCAGGGGTCGTGATTGTTTCGCTTCCGCTCTCATCATCAAGGAGCTTGGTGATGGCCTCAATCTGTCTTGTCGTGGCATTCTGCTTCATTTCATCGAGCATAGGTCGGACCTTGTCCCTGAGCGCTTCCTTCTCTGCAGGGTCGGCTGTAAACAAAAGTTTCTCTGCGCATGGTTAGAATACACTGACATTTTCTAGGGCGTGTGAACTTACGAATCACATAATTTCCAAATTGATCAGACATCAGCTGCTGCAGTGGCATTGATCCGTCCTCACACACTGTGGTCATCACCTTGTAGATCTCGGATCGCTGTTGAGGAGTACAGGTGTGGATGCACTTTTCAACCACATTTGATGCTTGCTTCTGTCTCGACAGAGTCAAGATTTGGGACATGACCATCGTATAAATCCGATCCCGGTCCTTGGCCTCACCCTTGTCGAGGATGTGTTGAGCCACGTAATTGCCGAACTGGTCGTTGAACAGAAACTTCCATGAGTTGTGCAGCTCTTCCAGAAATGTGAGCTTGTCTTCCTCCGAACCATATTCGAGAATTCTCTGAATGACGCGGCATCCGTAGTTGTGAGAGGCAAATTCTCTCACACGGCCCTTGAAAACATCCATGATGAAGTCAATGTGTTCCCTGGGTACCAGCTGAATGATCTTCTGAACAACATGGTTCCCGTGTTCGTCCTTGATCACCTCGATAATCCTAGGCTGCAACTCCTGGACAAGTTCCGCTTGCTGGTTGACGAGGATATGGTCCATTGCCTTCTGAACCACCCGGCAGGAGTACATCTGCATCGACATGTCCACCATTCTGCCCTTCATCTTGTCGGCAAGGATGCTCTTCTGCACCTGGCTGCCATGATCAAAGAACTTCTGGATAACATAGTTGCCAAACAAGTCTTTCATGAGCTGAACTGCGTTCGGCTCGATCTCTCGGAAGATTCGGTCCTTTTCGTCACTGTTGGCGGTGTCGATCTGGCTCTGCACGAACCTGGAACCTTGCTGGTCTCCGCTGAACTCAACGATATGGCCATATATCTGACTGAGTGTGAACTGTTGCCTGTTCCTCTGGCGATTGCGGAAGTCGTTGAGAACGGTGCTGCGACGTTCCCTACCGGGGTCGGTAGTTGGATATGGCTGTATGGGGACGGGGACATTTCCAGGCAGCTGGTATCCGGCAGGCAGATTCGGTAGGCCATAGCCGGTGACCATGGTGGGACGGACAGTTTGGGCGAGTGGATCGTAGTACGGCTGGTAGTACGCCGACATGGCGCTCTGGTTGTAGGGGGTCGTAGGTGGATACTGGATCGTAGATGAATACTGGTTCTGGTTTCCAGGCATCCGGTCATGATCGCCACTGAAACCCGATCTTGGAATACCATACAAAACGCTCAACACGTCCGCATTCCCCATGTAGACTCCGGAACTTCTTGCTGGCTCTGGGCGAGGGTTCTGTGTGGTGGGGATGCGATCAATGGATGACCTGTTGATGCCATGGAGCTGAGAGTTCAGATGTGTGACCAACTGGTCTTGGGACTGGTCGATGCCGTTGCTCCCGGACCTCACCTCAAAAGGCTGCGAGGCCGGGTTGAAGGTTGACCGGCCTACGTTGACCATGGAGGAAACTGAATTGTCGTCCATCGTCAACCGGCGAGTGAACTCCAAAGAGAGGTCTTCACTCATTTGCTGCCTGTTGGAGTTGAAGGCCCGGCTGTTGGTTGACTGATGCTGGAATGAGGAGGAATGCGTTGGGATTGGCCGCTGAGACTGAATTGAGTTGCTTGGAGTGTGTCCTTGGGTATGGGCGTGGCTGAACATGTTGGCAGGTGATTGAGCCTGTCGTTGAGCAGGGCCAGTCGAGTCCCGTGCTATGCCAAAGCTGCTGATCGAGTCCATGTAGGAGTTTTCCTGAGGACTGCGCCTTCTGAATGACATGCTGGTGGTCTCTTGGATTGATGTGTCATCGTAGCCATCGAACACGTTGGTGCTGTGGTTGATGCTGCTGCCGATGGCTCCTTCGTCGCGCGGCGAGCCCGTCGATCGTGGCATTCCCATCCCCCAGCTAGAGCCTGACCGCCAGTCATCAGAGCTCATGTTCCGGGTCCCAGAGTTTGCATGTCGGGTTGCAGCGTTCGCGGGTCGGGTTCGAGTGTTCGCGTTCCGCGCTCCAGCGCTGGAGCCGGCAGGGGTATCATCGACAGCTAGAGCTAGGAGTCAGTACACGTGGGATCTAGAGCGGGGCAGATAGAGTGAAGAGGACCAGCGACGAAAGATGTATCGCGGCCACGGGAAGACACCTACCATGATAAGCCCAAATGCTGCTGGCCGAGCCGTCGGCCGTGTAGGGCACAGAGATGGATTGAGTCGGCTGCCTGTCGTTGGTCTGGGCGGGCATGGTGCCGAGATTGGTAGAGCCACCGAGGCGTCTCCTGGGCTATCAAAGACGAAGAGACAATGTCAGTAAGCAGTTCCTAGCCAATTCCTCAGACAAAACAAAGAACTCGTCGTGATGGGATATGATGATGATGTGTGCTTTTCAAGGTTTGAGTTTTGGTGTGCATCCAATATTATGGGGGACAGCGTCGGCCATCGTTTTTTTGGTCGCAGCGCAGACTCGACGTGGTAGCGAATCCGGACGTGCGCTAGCCTGTCGCATCTGGTTGAGACACACGAGCACCTCTGACGTCGCACTCCCTGGCCCAGGGCTTTGAGCCAAGGCGCTGACGGCAGGGCACGGGCACGGGCAGGACGAGGAATGGGACATGAGGGTGGAGAGGACGAGGAATGCCATGTGCATAAATGAAGTTTCGGGTAAAGAAGAGCAAAGACGTACCTGAAAAGAGCTAGCCATGGTTTGGTCCATATCAACGATGATGAAGTAGAACGAGTGAGGATAATTGAATTGTCTCGTTGATCAAGAAGCAACTCAGGGTTAGGTACAGTACAGATGGATTCTCGTACTGGACTCAGTGCGGTGTCGGACCTCGCTCTAGGCGTGTTTGGGGTTGCACTCCGAGGGGACAGGAGTCGAGTGGGTGCTGGGGTCCGGTGTCTGGCGTCTTAGCGCAAGGGAGGCGAGGGTGTAGCGAGGTGGATGGAGCGGCAGATGGTGCTGGGGTGCCTTGGCTTTCAAGGGCCACGCTGCAAGTTGTGTGTCCGACCGATGGAGATGGAGGGACGATCAGGGCCTAACGGATTAGATACGGATACCTGTATTAGATACCGGGTCCGAGACGATGAGACGGATGTTGGATCAAGGTATGAGTGTTGTATGGTAACGACCGGGACTTGTGTGTCAAGAGATGCCGTAGTTGAACAAGGCGGCAGTTGTTATCGAACAAGTGATGATGGGTAGGTGCTTGCTTGATCTCAGACGACCAAGCTAGAGCTCAGTCAGCACAATCCAGTATCTGGTTGGAGCAAAGTACAAATAATGTGGAGGCGAAAAAAAGATGGGGGGTCAAGAGTGGGTAAGGCTGAGGGAGAGGGACAGGGGGGATTTTATATTCAAAATCCGGACATAGAATGAAAGCAAGCTTTCCCCGGCAAAAATGGGCCAATTCTTGCCTTTCGTGGGTTAAGGGCGGGAAGGAAATGTGGCAGGATATTAGCTTTGGTGCCTGTGCCGTGACTTACAATAAAGATTAAGGTATTTGTGGTGAAGCTTTTTTGCGACGGGACCCAAGAGTGTGTATGAGACTGCTTCCAAGATGTACCCCAATTCGGTTTCCCGGGGGTGGTGGTGCTGTTGGGGCGGGAGGAGCTGGATGTGTATACAAGCAAAATGAACAGGAATACCCTGGAAACCAAGATCCAAAGGTAGAGTAAAACGGTGCGCAGTCCTTTCTGCCGCGTGCCGTATATGTGGGCGTGTGTAATGTCGCGTGCGTTTTGTGTGTTGTTGTATGTTTAGGAATGCAACAGGATCCTTGAAAGTCCCGGAGCGAGCATGTGCCGACGAAGGGTGGAGAGCCGACAAGGTCTTGTTGGGGAATTATTCAGTTGACAAATGAAGCCGAGGGATGTAGCGACATGTGCAGAGTAGGGTTTTTTTCTTCTTCTCCGAGGCAAGGTAGTGTGCAGAAAAGTGTGACTGAAGCCAGATGTACAAAGGAAGTTTTGGTGGTTCTGTTCGGACGGACGTCTATTAGACAGTAAAGGTTTCGGTCAGATATCAACGGTGGCTTCGATCGGAGGGGTTGAAATGTTCTAAACAAAGAGTTTATCGAGTAAGTATGGGGCGAGAGAAGAAAGTGAAAATGGGCAGAGAAGCGGGCGAGATTATTAGAGGTAGTAAAGTAATTAACAAAGAGGACGGATCAAGTAAATTAACGAGTCGACAGACACAACAAACCAAGCTTCGACGAGAAAATCTTGGAGAGGAGGGGGAGGTGAGGGTGAGAGCGGCAAACGACAGCTTTGGGGGCGTAGGGGCAGTTTTACATGTAGTCGGCCGCGGGCCAGCGAAACAAGGGCAAGCCTCAAGGTCGCACACCAGGGTCGGAATGCAGGGCACGGTGCGCGACAAGAAGAGCAAGAGAAAAGGGCCCGCGAAACGTTTGGCCCTCCAGCTAAGGGAGAAACCTCGTGTGCAGTCCTGTCTGCAAAGGAATGATGGGGAATGACGGGCGAGACAAGGTCGATAGCGCGCCGACGTCTGTGTGGTTTAAGGACGAGCCTCCCCAAGGTTGGTAAGGTACGGAGGTCTCTCTCAAAAGTTTTGTCCAGGAGCTAATAGCGCCAAGGCCGCTTATCCCTGTCGGTACCTGAGGTACTTTGGAGCAAATCTTTTCAGTTACTTACTCCCTAAAGCTATAGGGAGGGCTATTGGAGCCCAGGGGGAAATCTAGTGAAGCTTAGAGAGCTATATCCTTAGAAGATAGGGGCTTCAAAAGCAAAGAAAGAGGACCATAAGTACCGATGTAACTGTGCTTGGAAAATGGCCTCTGATTGGCTCGTGTATTTGTGTGGCTTGAGGGCCAGGACAAAACTTTTGAGATAGACCTCCGTAATGGGGGGGAAGAAGAGGGGGGGGACAACCTCGAGGTTACTGTCGACAAGGGTTAATCTCGAGCAGGGAGGGAAATCCTGCCTTAGTGTCGATATTGAGCTGGGGATGATCAGGGAGGCAGATGAATTGCCCCAGTATTTCACATTCGTCCAGACGATAATCCGTAGATGGTTGCTGTGATAAACCGGTGAAAGGCTGCGATCTATCTATGCGGGCACACACAACGCGCTTCCTAGGTAGACGCAACCGGTTCGAACGGGGAGGGAAACAAGACAAGGGACGCCTTTATCCTCGTTGTGCTAAAAGCTTAAACCCCTCTCTGGCCCAGATGGCGCAGGATGGCATGTCTCCCCAACAATAAACCTGCACGCCATCCGCGTCTGGTCGGTGTATATTGTATTGTGCCTCGTCGACACAGCACCCAGATGGGGCACGGTGTAGACTTGTCTGGGTATCTACCAATTGCTCTGCCGACCAATCTGCCGCTGCGTCAATCTTTGTCTCGACTCTCCTCGTCGGGCTGCAACAGCAACAGCACATGAACCCCTCTGGCTGGCTGCTTGCCTGTCTTGGTGCTGCCTCGCTACTTGGCACAATGAGGGGGCCTCGGATCTCCCGAGCGTTGTACGAACCGCGATGCTCATGTGCGTGATTTTGAAGACGGGATGCTTCATATCGGGTATGACACTTGTACTGAACTCTTTCGGTGCCGTCTCTCAACAGACTGGTCTTGATGAAGTTGAGGCGGATGCCTGACGCTTATGCCGTAGGTCATGAAGAAAAAGGCCCTTTTCATGGGCTGATTCCTGTATTTCTCGGTGTCATTGATGATATATCATATCGCGTCTACCATTTCTCAACCTCTTGATACAAGACGCACACGCATCGTGACAATGGCGCACAGAGTATCCGTGTCCTGGCTGTTAAACGGTGTTGGGCTTGAGAAACTTCCATTGCTCAAGCCCCAATTCAGGGCCGCAAGCCAAGACGGGCGGCCCCTCCTGGCTAGACCCAGATCGTGCAGACTAACTTTCCCAACTAAACCCTGTTCGGCTTAGCTTTTTTTGCCCGTGGTTAACCGTATCCTGATCAGGGAGTCGCTGAGGTGACTTTGGCTTTTCTGTTTGCATCATGCCGTAAATCATGAGGAAACGACTTCATAGAAGTAATTCAAAAGGACACCTGTATCTAGTCTATCTGAACCATGACGAGCCCAAAATGCACATATACACCGTGACCCTTTACCACCGCATCAAGA